AGAAATGGGAATATTTTGACATATAGATATCTATATATGAAAATGCAAAACAGATATAATGGATATAGGCCAACACTTCTACTGTCCTAGTTTTGGACAATTGCCATAGAAAAAGTCCATTGATTGCCAAACCTCTCAGAAAGAGTATAGCGTAACTATTCCTAAAAAATTCTACCAGACAAATAATCTCAAAATATAATCTCCAAGTGTTCATTTGGCACATACATATATTCCTTTGTACCTCCTTCAGACTCTGTTTATGATCATTTACTGGGCCACTCATATTATATATGTCTCCTTAAAGTTCACTGGGAGGTTGTCATGAATATGGTCAGTGAAAGGAGAGATTTTCTGGGTTTTTGGCACATATCTTTTAAACCTTATTAACATGTAAAACTGTTATACCTCCACCATTTGTCTTGTCTATTGCTTCTTCAATTATAACTTTATTCATCCCATCCTCATATAAATTTCTTTCTACAATTACTCACCATTCAATATTTTGGACTATGAGAAGGCAATTTGGAAAAGTATAAGGGATATCTGGCCAGATGTTATGAAGAACATCTATATGTTCTTTCCATTGGTAACAATCTATATTTAGGAAAAATATTTAGGCTGAGTTAATTTCTGTATATGAAAATTTATTGAGTGAGAGGAAAATATAGCAAATTCAAAGAAAAGTCTACACAAAAATTCCAAAAGAGCTTTTATCTGGAAAGGTTTTCATTTGGAAAATATTTGCCTTTTTGTTAACATAACAGCAAGTCAACTTGTTGAGATGTGTTCTGCCTAAAATATATCTAGGTGAAGATGTAGTTGAAATTATCTCGAAATACAACAACCTTCGAACAACTTTCCAGATGTCTTGGACTTGCTGATCTTAAGTGTTTATAGTTGGTGTTAGATCTAATCAGTCTGAACCACTATACCACAGTGGCGGAGTGGTTCTGGAGCAATAGAGCTTTAAAGTTGATGGTGGTAGATCAAATTGGCTGTTGCAGCCTTTGACTCTGTAAAAAGAATTACATTGTTCTGTTGTGGAATAAATAAGCAGCATTGTGGTTGGTTGTATTAAGAATCTTTTAATGAACTGTTCAAATATTCAAGTTATAGATTTGAGAAATAATGAAGAGATTGAAAGTGGTTTATTGGAAATATGTGAAGGACTGCAAAATTCACAAAATGAATTAAAAGAAATTTATTTTGATAAATGTGGTTTCCCTTACAGAATAGATATGGCTTTTGCTATTGGAGAGCTTTTTAAAAATTTCCACCATCTGGAAATAGTTGATCTCAGCAGAAATAAGTATCTTCGAATTGGTGTATCGAAGATATGTGAAGGACTTGAAAGTTCGTTAAAGACATTACAAATACTTAATATTACACAGTGCTCATTGTATAAAAGAGATTGTCATTGTATAGGAAATCTTCTAAGGAAATGTCTTCGAATTCAAAGATTTTCTTTTGAATTGAGACCTCAGCTTTTTGAGGGACTTTTAGTGATAATTGATAACATTGAAAATTCACCCTACCATTTAAAACAAATTAACATCACTTTCAGACCATATCATTTAGAAAAAACTCAAATGGCTGTTGTCAGTAAAATTTTGGTAAATAGTTCAAAGATCGATAAAATAGATTTACCTATAAATATTAAAAATTATTTAATTGAAATTGGAGGACAACAGCTCAAAGAAAAATTAATCTGATATTAAACAAAATTTTCACAGTCTTCTTTTTTACAATTTTAAGGTTTCCTATTAAAAATGAATGGATGGTACAGAAAATGTCCACAAATGAAACGTTTTTACCTTAACCCTAACACTTTAAATTTAAAAGGTTTATTTTGAAATAAACACTTTAGACAAACAATAATCTGAAAGTTCAAAAGTTTTTTCCAAAAGTTGACTTACAAGGAACAAGGATGTTCTTTTCATTTTAAGCAAAAAAAACCCCTACTATTAAAAAGAAAACACATTTCATTTATTCATCTAGAAGTAATGAAATGTTCAAAAGACTTTGGGTGATTGTTTAGATGACTGCTCAGAAGGCTGCTAGTTAAGATGGGGCCGACAGAAAACGTCCCCAAATGAGATTTTTGAAAGCAACATTTCGGATTGAAAAATTGTTAGGAGGGGTAAAGTAGCTTTTGATTTATAGTTAGGGGGGTTCCATCTAAGGGTTAAGAGCAATCAAAAAGGTTAAGGAGAGACAAGGGCTAGGTTAGGGTTAGGGTTAAATCATGAATTTGGGGACGTTTTCTGTCGTATCCAGTTAAGATAAGACTTGAACAAGACACTGAGATTCAAATTCTGATAAAAGTTGAAAAACTAATTTTTGACTTGGTAAGTGATTTACAAGGATCAATACAATTGTGACATGCCAGAAATTCCTACAATTACAATACAACAAAGTGAAAAGATTCCAACTAGACAAAAATGCAGTTTTGTGAACAGACCCAAACCAATAAACCTACAAACCTAACCCTCTAACATGAACTCAAAGAAATGGAATTTGAATAAAGATTAGATTCGCTATGGATTAAAAGATGTTTGTTTATTGAAATTTATTCAACTGATAGCGTTGCAACAATTTTCTTAGAAATAGGCCAATTGATTCAATATCCTTAATAGGAGAATCATCAACTTTACAACTGGCTACCATTAAAATGATTGTATAGAACTCTTGAAATGTACTTTTATCCTGAAAAATGAAAGAAATTTAATTCAGAATTTTGCTCCTATCCTATCCACGCCATCTTTACCATATCGAGTAGTTGATTATAGTTGAATTGCCCATTGTAAAATATACAACATTTATGAGTTATAGAAATAAATTGTACAATTGTTTGAAAAATATCAAGGATATGTTGAGGACGCGTGATTTTTCTTGGCATAATCCTTGAATTTTTCTTGAAGCTTTTTAGTTCTTTTGAAAGAGTTAGCACTAAAGAAAAAAAAAGGAATAATTCTTTCCACTTTGTTTTGTTTTTGTTAATATTTACATTTTTCATTAGTTCTTGTTACCATAGCAATTTTTAGTTGTTTTCTGCAAAACATCATATACATATACATGTACAAGAGGAGGGAGAAGGGCAGTTGAAAACAAGATACCTCTCTCTATTTCTCTTTTCCTCCATCATTTCTTTTATTTGAGTGAAATCCTTGAATAAATAAACTATACTGACTTTTATAGAATTTATTGGTAGTGCATATATTAACACAATATGATGAATGGATTCCTTTAACAAAATCTTTTCAAATATAGAAAGTAAATCTAGGAGGAAAGAAGGAAGGAAAGGATAAGAATTGCTTTCATGTGATTGCTTTGTCTACCCTACAAACCTAAAATTGTTATTAACAACCAAAATAAAAGGGAGCTAACTAATGAAAGTTGTTGATACTGTAAAACAGTCCGGTTAAAAGTACATTGAAATCTCCTCTTTAGAGGAAGAATAATTGCGGGTATTGAATATAGAACTGGTAATAATATTTCGTAGATTACAAGCGAAAATATCCATCCTTGCGGTTTTATTTTTGTTAGATGGAGAGGTATACAAGTTGGGTTGTTTTTGTAGATATTCTATTAATATTAATGGCTTTAAAAAAGGATAAAAAACTCTACTGCAACAATTTTACTGTATTAAAGGCTAAAGGTGTTAGTATTGTTGTGAAACATACAAGATATGCTAAAATAAAAATGGTTGTTTGTTTTCTTGACAAACAACCTTGGGGAAAAATTATCATAAATGACTCTATTACCATTGTACCAAGGATTGAAAAGCTCAGAAATATGCCAGACAATTTGCAGAATATACCATTCCTCCAAACACTTTCATTTTCAAAATAATCATTCTTGTAATAAAATCCACCAGAGCATATAATTATTAATGAAATAGTGAGAAAAATCTGACAAACATAGGCTAATATTTCAATACAAATACGTTGATAATTTCTCTTATGGTGAATAATATTTAAAGAAATTCCAAGTAGATTTATAAATAGAATAACTATTGTAAAAGCTAGAATCCAATATTGTTCAAGTTCCGTTTGTAGGATACTTAAACAGGTTTTTGTTGAATTTTTCTTAATTGCACCACTCAAAACGCATTGCGAAGTTCTAATATACTTTTCCATAGAGCAACAAAGGAAAAATTGATTAGTATTTAATATTTTTAAATATTGAAAATTCTTTAAAAAGTCATGTGTTAAGCCAGGTTTTGCTTGAACAGATTGAATTATTAATTCTTGTACAACAACTAGTTTTGAAGGTGTTTCTGGTAGAATTTTTGACATTTCTACCCAAATTAACACTAAAACTTTTAATTTTGTCAATTTTGAAATACCCTTCAAGTTCAGTGATGACAATTTATTAAAGGATAAATCTAGATAGAAGATTGAAGAATATCCAAATTTGATGGAACTGAATTCTTTAAAAGAATTCTTTCTACAATAGAATTTTTGTAATTTTAATAGAGATCCAACAGAGTTCTTGTCCAAAAACTTTTCATTTGTATCACTGATATCCAAAATCACTAAATTTGGAAATTTTTGAAGTATTTTAGACAGTTTTACACTGCTCAGTGTACAATTTAAATAGACAAGATGGTAATTTGAAATTTTATCTAGTAGATTTGAAAAAGTTTCATTGACATTTATAAGGTTAAACTTTTTCACAATTAATCCTTGAATATCATCACCATCTTCATCATTGTTATCATTGATATTCAATTGAATAGGATATTGTAAATTTATAAAATTACAATTGATTTCGAATGTAATATTACATAAACATTTCAAAGGACACTTGAATGTATTACAGTAAAGTTCATCACTGCCATCATGACAATCAATAATATTATTACAAACTTGTTCCCTACTTAGAATTATTCCGTCTCTACAGGAGAAATATCCTTTGGGTTGGATTTTATCTGTATTTTATTCTTTGGTCATTAAAAAAGAATGGAAGGGGGAAAGTAACAAAATAAAAATCCATCATCACTTCTTACCAATGGTGCAGAAATCTTCATCGTCACCGTAATCGCAATGTTTCTCTCCGTCGCAGACATTTTTCATAGGAATACAAAAATTCACTCCGTAACATTGGTATTCTCCAATATTACAGTGTGTTGTATAACAGAAGAATAGATCTTGGAATGGATAGTGAACCTTCGTTAATAGGTCACCAATGGAATTGTATCTTAAATGGCACTTTTTGTCATATTTTGACGCCTGAACATCGAAATACTTGGCAAATATTTGGCATGATTTCTAGGAAGATAGATGGATGGAACTGAAAGTCTATAGAAAGGACGGGAGAGAACATTCAACTTACATAGGTTGAAAATTTCTTAAAGACCAAAATATAACCAGGGTATCGTTTACATATTGAATACTTTTCATCTTCAAATCCTTGACAATCGGGCCTTAAATCGCACTGATATTCCATACCTACACATTTTCTATCGCAAAATATCTCGTTATCTTTGCAGTTGTTTCCTGTACAGAAAAATATTCCATATATCATACGGAAGGATGCAAATGATTGTAATACCATTGCAATCCTCATCTGAATAATCAATGCAATTTCTTATTCCATCGCAAATCGCACTCTTTTTTATACACTGGTTGTTTTTGCAGAGGAAACTAGAGTTTTACAAAGGATTACCAAAAAGAAGAAGCGATGAGGAGAAAATTATTGCTGTACCTATTCTCTTCATTGCAATTTGAATTAACTGAAAAAGTGGAGAGTTATTGGCTGGATTAGGGTTTTGGGGACATTTTCTATCCTTTCAATTAGGTTTCTTTTCAAATCTAACTAACCGCAATTTCTTTCATCTTCACCATTTTGGCAATCTTCCGTATGATCGCAAACTTTCTTTACGTTTATTTCAAATCCATCTGAGCATTGAAAATAATGAATTTTGTCGCAATTCACTTCGTCTTCCCCATAAATGCAATTTTCAATTGAATCGCAAACATATATGAAACCAATACAAATTTCACTTTTGCTACAGAAAAAAGAGTTTTTTGGACAGTTTGAAATGTTTCTATATGGAATTATTCTTTGTGAAATGGTAAAGTTATGAGAGAATTCCTCTGAAAAGAATTTTATTCTATATTCAAATAGATTGACGATCGACAGGAAACATTCGTAAAAGGAATTTAGGGTTAGGGAAAATATTTCTCAATATCTACCAGTTTTCATTGAAATTTTGCAATTCCTGAATGTTTTATGTCTTATCCAAATAAATTGGGTTTATAAATGTCAACTGGATCAAATACTATATCTAACACTTTATTTGAATTTTAAAGCAAAATGACTGCAAATTTACTAACAATACAAAAAGTAACTGCAAAATTTCTCCTGAAGAGTCCAGTTGACCTTATTTAAAGTATATGTTAAATTAATAATATCAATATTACTGATGTTGATTGTCTTTTGGCAAATAACTTTGAAAAATTGCAGTTGATCGCATTCCACAATTACCAGTCCTTTTTCCTTGCTGAAACCAAGGCAACGATCTATCAATGATAGCTTTTCCACCCCATAAAAACAGTCTCTATTTTCAATATATAACAAAATAAAAACTTGTACTATTCCATTAGAAAAACGCAAACAGTTTGGTGGTGGGAAAGAGAAATTGGTTATTTTTAAGGTCAAGGTCAAAGTTAGGTTTAAAAAATTTACACTTTTTTCCCTTTCCTCACCCACGCATTCACTTTCAAAAAAATTATTTACTGGAAAATGTTGTGACTGTATGGAGAATTGATCATCTCGAAAGGAGTTCGATTACTAGACGATTTTTTCAATTTTCGCTTAGCGTTAACGTTCATGTAAGAGCTGTCTGTTGGTGGTGAGAAGACAAGCATGAAAAAGAAATAGGTCATTGTCAGCTGCTTTTAACTTAATTAAAAGGAATTCCCCTACTATACCCAATGCTATAAATTCATAATTGATAACTTTTAACTCGGGAGTGTTCAATATATGCAACTTCAACGGTAAATGGTCCCCTAGCGGCAATAGTACATTTTCAAGAAAATGCCTTTCTTTCAATGACGACAATTGCAGTAGTGATAAATTCTTTTTTTGGCAGAAAACTGATGATTTTTCAACTGATAATTCCTTTTCGCTAATGAAAATATTATAGCATTTATTTTGAAATTTATAAGTATTTGGCTGCCGACAGATGGCGTTATTATCATCTGAAATGAATGACAAGACTTGAAACATATCTATCGATGTTGTTTTCTGGTCGTCTGTCACCTGTATCCGTACTGTTGTAACAACGAAATTTTGGTATATAGTCCTTTACCTTTCGTTGTTTAGAGGATTGTTCGTTTATAGAGCAATTAGTTAATGCTTTCGCTCTTTTACAGTCAATTTTTACTGAAGGAGGATAACGTATATTTCTATCTCTTACCAGTTCATCAATTTCAGAGTCAACATCTCCATTCCTAAAACCAAAATGGCGGCAAATCATCTAGTGGAAAAAGTTTTTGAAAAGAAGAAGCAATACTCTTAAGTTAATTAATTAACAACTTGAATTTGTTTCGAGTTAAGATCAGAATAAATAACAGGTCTGAATTTTGATTTATAGCAAATCACTAAATGGCCGTATTGTTGTTCCCTCTCCTTTTTAGACGATGGAACACTGCTATTAAACAAGGCTATATCTTTTAATCGAAATTCTCTATCTATAAAGAAATTATGAATTTTTTTGGCGCAATTAGTTGAATTACAAACCATTTTTATCTGTACAATCATTGAACAAACATTTGTTAAAAAGGCATAAATAGTTATCAATAAATTCAGTTCTTTCATCATCCTGTTCAATCACTCTCTGAAATCAGTTATTTTGAATATTTTACAATAGGATACTCTACTTCTTCCACTCCTCCCATCCTTCCCTACCCACTCACTCCCCTCCTTACATTTCGATAATAGAATATTCCATAGATATTCCTCATTGCATATTGCGGACACTTTGAGAAAAAGTAATCATCGCAGTTAATCGAAGTTAGGGGAAGTCGTTGAAGAATTGATAGAAATTCTGTCCTATTTGGTTCTAAAAATGAATGAGTGAATGAATATATAGTATTCAGGGCCACTGAAAGAAATAGTCAAGAGAAGAGCTGTGGTTGCATGAATATCGCAGAGAATCCGGCGTTTATTTTTTTATTATATAAAAATAAAATAGTTACCTTCTTTAACCAGGAATGGAAATACTCCTATTCCTTTGTTAACTAGTGCAACATATTCTGAATTATCGTATTCTTTAGGATACATATGATCTATTTTTTCAAGGGAATATCAGTGTATCAATTACTTATAATCAATAATTAACTGACTCAGTACTAATTTATCATTAGCAGACAAAACGTTTGTGCAATTGCCAGATCGAAACACACTCGAGGAGAGTTTATGATTAACCAATAGATATTTCTCCTTGGCGAAATGCCAAAAGGAAATATCATAGGGAACGCGAAATAGTGTGCCATGCGTTATGGATTCCTTATTAGTAAGGCGTGCTAGAGATCCAACACATACTCTATAATTAACATTTTGATATCTTGCGTAAATAATATGAGATTGAAACTGCTGATTAGTTTTCATAATTTGAAATAAAAGGACACCTTCGAAGAGAATAAAAAAGATATTTATGTATTTATGTAATAAATGGTTTACTCATGCCATCGTTTGGTCAACTGGACCCACACTTATTAGAACTGTTTTCCAATGTATCAGTTATTCAATTCGCTTGAACCTCGTTCATATATAAAACAGTTTCAACTGTCGTTAAATTCCTCAAAAAGTCGAGTCCAGTTGATAACAATTTCCTTACCTGAGTTGTGTCTACACCTAAGTTGGTACAAGTGCAAAATACCAAAATTGTATGTGCATTGAATAGCAGATTTTCTGTTGAAAATGTTTTATTTTTTTTAGAAAGGACCAATGCATATAGTAGTGACACCTATTAAGAAAATCTTACAAAAAACAGGTCTTATTCGTGCAGATAGCAATTAATTTTTTATTTGTATCTGAGTAAATACAGAAAATGGGAAAATAATATGATGAAAATGAAAGTCAGTTACAGTATGGTCTTGTGTATAAGACAGATAGCATACTATCATAACCAGCAAATGAGCATAGGTAAAAGTGAAAGAATGGTTTTTTTAAAATATGACTAGAATGATATTCCAGATAAAATTCATTCCTCCATAAAATTGCCCTATTTTGAATTTGAAAATTTTTCAATTCCGTGTAAAGATTCACATATCTAAAAAAAAAAGAGAGAAAGAAAATTTATAATGTAAAACTGCCAATTTTTTTTTATCATTAACCAATATTACAGTTTTGTTTCGGTGCAATTTTTTGCATATGTATTTTGTGGAATTGTTATAAAGTATACCAGCCAGATTAGCATGATCATGATTTAGAGAATAGTACAATAAAGAGAAATTTACTTTACTTCTGCCCTTTAAAAGAGCTCTCTAATTGTGAGTTATATTTTTTGTTATTTAAAGTTTGCTATTCAAAAGACAAAAATAGAACATCTGTACACGATCACTAACTCCTTTTGTTGTCAATGATGAAAAGAAAACATTGTAAAATCCTGATTAAAAATTATTTTGTCAGTAACAATAACAGCAAATTGTCTTTCTTTCTCTTTCTCTCTCTCATTCACTCTCTCTCTCTCTCTCTCTCTCTCTCACACACACACGCACACATCTAGAAATGTCATTTTTGAGAATGAATGATTGTATTAAATAGAGAAAGACTAGTATTGATTTCAGTTGGAATGTATCTCTTAACATACCTTTTCATCTTGTCAATTACAAGATTACATTCTGAAGAATGTGTTCAAAACAACTTTACAATGTATCCCAAAAATTCTTACCCATATATATATATGTTTATGTTTAAACAATGAAATTGTTCTCAGGTCCAAACTATTTGATAATCAAGTTCGTTTTGAAATTAATGAAGATCATCAACTGGTATTGAAGCATCAAAATATTCCAAAAAAGAAATTCTACTTAATTTATGATATTGCTCATTATTTTGAATATCCCGACTTTCATTATGATATTTGTTCAAGTAGGGGAATGGACAACCTTAGAGCTAATTTATACTCTGTCTACAAAACAAGTTTAATTATTTCTTTATATAACCTATTTACCTCATTTTTGTTTAATGATGACCTTATTCTTTTGCAGCTGTATCATCCAATAGAGTTACAATGACCTGCAAAAAGAAGAATTGCGCATTGTCAGTAATATTAGGTGAAGAATACTTTTCAAACGCGTCTTCGTATTTTTTTCTCTCTAGATTATTTCATAGAATTTGCAGAAAGAAGAGAAGGAAGGATGCTTTAATTAAAATTTACTATATTAAATGTTTTGAAAGGAAACCTTGTTTGTTATTTTTCTATTCTTGGTGGAAAATTCCTTATACCTTTCTTTCTCCCTCTCTCTCTCTCCTCTTATTCGTTTAACTGATTAGATTTCTATTTTGTCTCGGAGAATCAAGGATATCACAGAGCTAACAGAAAATACTTTAGGTATAAAAATGAATCGTATATTGTGTGCTCTACGAAAAGTAAACTTCCATCAAACATTTGCACTGGAAAGTGCGTTGAGAGTGTCTTGACACAACTTTCAGTTTCCTCTCCATTTCAA